TGTATCACTTAATTTGTTGGAAATATTCACCTATTGGTTGCTACAAGAACATCTAGAAATATGTATTTACTAAATCCAAGGCATGTTTTATTATGTGGTTTAAAGGACATTCCAGGTACCAAACGTTCATTATTGATGAACTTATTTAAAAATCTTACTCGACTAAAGGTGGATTTATAAACTACGTTCAGTTGGCGCTCAATTCGAGTTGGCAAAACATAACCACAAATTCCACAAAATAAATTATATTTTGTTGAGATTTTTGTTTTAATTATATTTGTAGATGGTGTTGGTTTTAAAATAATTATAAATCCGTTATAATTTCTTATTCAAAACATACTTACCGTGTTATTCTGCTTTGTTTATGTTGAACTCGAACTGAAGGCCAAATGAACGTAGTTTATAAATCCAGCTTTATTCTTATATTATGAAGTGAATTATGTAGTACTTTGTATACATGTAAATGATTACAGTTTGATTCTAAACAAAGTTTTGCAAAATTTTAATATTGTGAATTTGTAGATATCCATTTATCGTAAAAAACAAAATTATACGACTTGAACTTGGAAAATAATGAATACTTCAGTTTTGATATTGATTTTAATATAAACACTATCACATACTATAAGAAATAAACAAATTTAAAGCTAAAAAGTAAGAAAAAAATCGAATTGTAATTGATACAAATTAAAATATGCAATGAACACGAACGCCAATGTTGCCAAATGATGAACTGATTTAAAAACAAAATTAATAAATAAACTGAAATTCAAAAAAATCAATATAATAAATCGGTTTTATAAAAAAATCCTTAAATAAATATAGAGTATGATTATATATTACTATACACAAATTTTGATTCTTAAATAAAAGGCCTTATCCACTTCTTCAAGAGCTAAAATCCGACGATGTAGCGAAATTTGCTACTTCTGGCAACACTGAACGATATCCTACTTATAGGTACCTTCTACAAATTTCCTCCAGAGGGCGTATCACTTAGCTTGGATCGCGAATCGCGTCCACGCCACCAGAAATATTCATTAAAAAACGATAAAATGTAATTGTGCAGATTCGTCCATTAGTAGTGCTTTATGAAAAATGTGAGGGGCTTAGATCGCCCTTAAAGAAGGATTGTAAACCTGTGTCTGATATTATTAGGATTCTAGCTATTAAAAGACGCATTATTGGTAAAAGGATGTATATATTTATACATAAAATTCCGGTGTGCGTATGTTCTAATTCTTCTCCTCCTAAACGGCTAGACCAATTTTTTGTGGGGTCAGCAGGATGGTTCTTAGCTATAGTTAAACTCGCTGTTCTTAAGATCCAGGTCTTTGACAGGACAACATATGTCTACAGGGTCTGCTAGTAACTGTTATAAGTAGCATATATGTAAACTGCTTGGCTTTCTATATTATACTCTTCACAGTTTAATAGACCCTCTTAACCTCCAATTTTTAATCAGATTTCTTTCAGAATCAATAATAGGCTTTATTCCCTTATAGAACTTGATTTCAAGTTGATATCGTTTTTTGTTTTTGATTTATCGTGCGGAAAATAAACATTTTTAAAATATTTAATGAGAAGGATTTGGGTACAAAAATGTTTGTTTGGATCAATATTAAACATTTTGGTTTCTTGAAAGTACACTGTATGAAATGTATAATAATTTCTGAAAAAACATCAATATTCCCGAAATAATGCATTCCGTTCCGGAACCGACAAGCAAAGAGTATAGTTAACACAGGAGATCGCACTCAAATGTCAATTGATCTAAAAGTCTGTCACCTTGAAAATTTAAAATATATTACGCGGGTAAATATGTTGTATCTAATCTAATATAACCTAGCTTTCTGAGCACTTCTTTTTTTGGTTTAAACATTTATTTATAATCGAATTTTGTTATAGATCTGTATCTTATAATACAAATTACATAATGAAGGTCTGTACAGTGAAATTTTCTAGATGTAATTTTTTTCATGTGACAGCAACGAGATAAAATTAGTACATAATGTCTGTCGAAAATGTTAATGTAACTTTCTTTCAGATATCACCTAACTTTCGTATGAATAAGGGCTGGAAATTGCTTTAAAATATTATGTAACCCAATAAATGCGATCCCTGAATAGTCATATAAAACCCCAAAAGTACTTCACGCCAAAAGTATTTAAAGGCAACCCAACAACGAGTCGACAACTGTCAACGATATCTAAGATCCACAACACATAAAATTTACTATAATCGATATTAACCTTTTTTTCATAAAGTAATTTAATACTGATTCGAAGATGAGCCGATTGTAAAGCCAAACCTGTTCGAAATAATTTTACGTCTAATCGAAAAATCGGGCGATCCCAGCATGGTTTAGGGTTACCATATGGCAGATGGTGCGATGCGTGATGAGGACGTACCGCACTGTGAACCTGGGTCCTGGAGTATACATGTCGGTGTCAGATGCTAAAATCAGTCATTTTGCGTAACGTTCCACATACTTTGATTACTATACGGTGCAAGAGAGAGGTCCAACACGCCCAACATAGGGCGCGGCCATTTTGATTCCTATGCAACAGTTTATAGCTAAAGAATCATATCGCTCACTCTGCGTCGGCACTTTTGATCTCAATGTTCCAGTTTATACACTGCGCAACTCGGATAATACAATATATGACAACCGCCTATAATGAAACAGCAATCTTCTGCGTATCCTGAATTTGTATCCCTGGAGTGGATGTTATTTTGGAACTTTCAACTGGTCCGAGTGAGCTAACTGATTCTATTGCAATAAACTGTGACTCCAAAAATAATATTCACTGACACTGACAGCAGCAAGCAAAATATCAGATGCGTTTTAATCATCCGCTTCTGCTTCCGGAATTGTCGGTTTAGTCGTTTTAACCTGTCAGATTAAAACAAGAAAAACGACAATTTCGAAGCAGAAGCGGATGATTAAAATGCATCTATTAAAAATATTGCGCCAAGATGTAGGCAACACGTAATAAGGGATCAAAATGGCGGAGTTTTCTATCTCCTTTTAAAAGGCACTCAGAAAGCTGCGCAGTGCGACCATTCTCCGTATAGTAAAAGAAAATTAAAGTATGTGGTAACGTTCTAATTGGTAACACCAGACTTGTCAAAAAAACTCCAGACCAATAGGGAGGAGATATCGAGGTCAACATTATTTTAAAAACCCAAAAAACATAAATTTTGTAATAGCCACAATAATGTTGTCTTCAAGTGGCTTAAAACCTGAATATTTTTTACTTTTAGATGTCATTTTTCTCATGTGTCAGCAACTAACGTGCTGATTGGTGACCCCAGACTTGTCAAAAATTCATCAGACCAATAGGGAAGAGGTACCGAGGTAATTGAGATTTGAGCCAGAATTTAACATGGAAAGTATATGGAGTGACAGGCCTGTGCTCCAAGAGTGAAAACAAATAATTGAAAAACTGCCAAAAAGTCTGGTGGTAATCAATTAAAATTAAAAAAAAATTGAATAAAAATAAAAAAAATAATTTTTGTTGGGACGCATTTGTCGGAAAGCCCATTCATTGGGAAGCGCATTTATCGGAGCGATTTTGTCGGGGCGCATTTGATCGGGATACAATTGTTATTTAACCGTTTATTTCATGGTATCTTATAAATTGTGAAGTGTAAATTCCAAGAATGGGTTTATATTTTATCTATCAAAACATAGTAGTCCAGGATCCGTAAGTAAGGTCAACTTTAACCCATCTGTTTAATGGATGAAAGTTTTTTTATTAAATAAATAAAATGAGTTGCCTAAGAAAATACGGTCACAGCCATTTTTTACTTTCCTTTCTGTGTATAGATAAGGAAAGTATAGGAATCATGATAAAAGTTGCTTGTGATGTCATTCTCTATTATTTTGTCTCTATACATGATTTCCCTAAAATGGACCTAATTTGAGATATTTGAGGAAAAGTACAAATTTCGAATTTTGAAGAGAAGAGAAAAACACCAAATTTTAAACTTAAGCTTTAATCCATCCTGTGGTAAGCTGATTAAAGTTTGGGCATAGTCGAAGCATCTGGGGAATACTTTACAGGTTGTCGTTTTTATTACTTTAAGAAAATAAATAGTCTGGACCGTATTTTCTTAGGCAACCCATTTGCGGTATATTTATAAACATATTTTATTTAATAAAAAAAACTTTCATCCATTAAACAGATGGGTGAAGATCGACCTTACTTCGGATCTTAGACCATAGGAAAAAATAGTTTAGACAAAAGTTACCTATTTATTTTTTCATAGTAAATATTTAAAAATATATGATTCTATTTAAAAAATCAAAATGACCTTGAAGGTCACGAGCAGAGAAAATTAAAGAACATTTTGTAGACTTTACGAATTCAAGTTACTTTTACTGAACGGAGGCAGGTCATGATGGCAGGCAATTCAGATGCTCCCGATAAAAAATATATAACAGTCTACCTAGGGAAATTAGGACACGTTCTCTGACATTTTTAAAACAAAATTATAAAACGTTGCTATTAGTTGAGCAATGAATACAGTGCTAACGTTAATATGTTATTATTCCATAAATTTTTCTTGTTTTTGCATTTTAAAAATAACGGATTTTGAGACCTAAATTGATTTCAGTTTAGATTAAATACAGGATTAACATTATTTAATCATAAATTAATTGTATATTAAATTTCTTATTTTTTTGTATTGTAAATGATGGATACCATTTGATTATTTTAAGTTTATATTTATGTTTAGGTTAAGTTGAGTAGCGCAAGCTAGACTCATGATGTTTATGTGCATTGTATATTACAAGCAAATAAAGGCATTTTATTATTATTACCTAAAACTTTCTGCTAAATATACAGGATAAATAGTAAGAGTTTGTAAACTAAAAGCCGGGGCACCCTGTATATACTTGAAGGCTGCTATTATCCGAGCGGATATAACTGTCCCACTCTGTATAGTATAGTTCGTGCCATAACATAACGACTTCCGTAACAATTTTTTACCTTGAGGATCCACTTCTCTGGCGATTTGCAAGGCATCCGAGTTGGCTAGATCCGAATTGGCAGGTGTAACGGCTAAGATAAGGCACGTATCCTTCCTGATGAATTGCAGGATCATGTTTCTGATCTGATGTTCGATGTCTTGAGGCTGATCGCCTATCGGAACTTTCGTCATGCCCGGCAGATCGATCAGAGTTAAATTTAGAACTGAAAATAAAATATTAATATCAATAGGATTATTAAGAGCTTATAAATAAGCTTTCATTGTTGTGATTGTTATTAAAAATTTAGGTCAATATACAGGGAAAGACAAAAATGTAAACGATACGAAATAAAACATTCGGAGAATATAGTTTAAGTAGTACCAATAGAAATAAGACAACAAAGTCATTAAGAGAAAAGAAACATTTTTATTTATATTAATAATGTAGAGTAGAACTCATTCCAAATATAAACTGGTATAAAAGGACGGGGCATACCTGTGTATAAACACTGTAGAAGTAGACCAACAGATCTAACTTAGATCTTAGGTTGTCTGGTTATTGAAAATCGATAAATTTGTTACTCGTATTTTTACTAAAAACCAATCATTAAAAATAACCCTATTTTATTTCATCCAGAGGTCAAAGGTTTAACAGTATTTTATCCTCGATATCAAATAAAAAGGAAAAATAAAAAGTAAGACGACTAAAGTTCAATCTTTACCTCAGAATTCAGATATATTGAATATTTTCCGAAATCACTCGATTTGAAATTAATAGTAATTTGGACTGTCATGTCAAATCGCATAAAAGTGCTATTTTACCAAAAAATGGGTGATATAAATCAACTAATTTTTCTTAAATATATTTTTTTGATTTTGACATATAAGTGACATTTTTTGTAATAGCAGCATGTATCAAAATGGTCTATTCGGTGTATATATGCAACCAGTTACATACAGTTGAACATTCTATAATTGGTTACGAGTTACGAAAGGAAAACAAACCAATATATAAACTTTGTTATTGAAAGTTTATATCGAAGGAAGGTTGGCTACAAACAAATAGATTTTGTTAGTGAACTTAAAACCACCTAGTAATAATTCTGTTCTGGTCCTTATTTTTCAATCTAAATTTGCATTAAACAATCAACATGCAATACACGACAAAATAACCCATTTAGTTGAAAACTAAATAACTTTAACAAGCAAGATAAACACCCTACAACATGATATGATTTTCTGTATATATAAATATGCCAATGAAATGAATGAAATTATGCAAGTAACAATACACGAAAGTAATATTAGGCATTCCAACGACCTGTCAAACTGCTAACAAGTGGGAACTGACATTTAGATATGGCAACCCTGTGCAGGGCCGACAAGAGAGGGGGGGCAGCCGGGACCAATTCCCGGGGCCGGGATCAAACGGCGGCCCGGCTGCCGTATAAGGGGGGAACGGCAACTGTGTGTGTACTTTTAGAAGTTCGGCACATAAGGGGGGGAAGTTTTTGCTTGAAGACCCTTTTTTTATTTTAGAGAGATTTAGTAAAGAGGAGGAGAAGTTATTGCTTGAAGACCTTTTTTTTGAGAAATTTAAATAGGAGGAGAAATTTTTTTATAAAATTGTCGTGGGGCCCGATCTGGAAAATTGTTGTCCTGGGGCCCGACCTGGCTCTCGGCGGCCCTGACCCTGTGAGTCTGTTGTCATTGACAGGGTCAATCTTGGGTCAATGATACATATATAGTTATATAGATTGCTCAAAGCCGGTCGTTTACGAGCGGCCATATTTTCTCGCAAGTGCTCATTAATCAGAATCGATTTTGCAAAAATGTGTTTACAAACCAATATTTAGCCTCTGAATATAGTAAAAAAATAATTACCTACATTTTTACTTCAAGGCATAAGCTTATGTTAATTTTGAAAAATATAGATGATCAATCTATGTAATATCTATTTCATTGACCTTGTCAAATCACTAGGCCTGCAGGGTTGCCATAATTTTGCCATATCATAACCTGTCAAAACCCACTGGTAGCCATTTTGTTTGGAATGCCTAATTAGTTTTATAGATGTTAGTAATTTTTTACCAAACACAATTTAATCAGAATTAGAAAAAATAGTGTATGTAACACGTTAGAAATGCCGTTTTGTGTAACTAGTTATATAAAATAAGACTGTTGTGCTGGGCAAGTTCTTACCACTCACATTTTTTACATTATTCTCCAACTGGACTGTAAAAAATGCTGAATTACCTTCTGCTGGTGGGAAATGAAATACTGGCAACGTTTGACACCATTTACTATTGTAGATCCATTAAAAAACTTTATGTATAATACTGGCTTACACTTAGTAATTGTGATAAAATACTAACTATGCAAATTCATCACACTCTGGCCTGTATTTCTATTTTTACTACTTTGTTTAAAGACATTCAATATAGCGACATGACGCCTAGCTGAGTGGATGAATCGGTAAGGGCTAAATGAAATGTTTCTGGTGAGAGTTGCTGATGCTCTAACGTAGGGATGCGCACGACGTATCGATGTTTAAAAAACATTGATTTTTAGGTTTCGATTATCGATGTTCAACATCGATGTTTTTTAATCCGATGTTATTAGTTAACATCGATTTTTATTTATCCGATGTTATTTGTTAACATAGATGATTTTCTGTTCAATGTTTTTTAGTTTTTTGTTAAACGTTACGTTTCATTGTTTCATAGGATGGTGGTTTTTTATTTTGAAAACATCGATGTTTATAGACACATCGATGTATGTAAAGACAAACATCGATATTTAGAAAAATCGATATTTTCTTCTTCGATTTTTTACAATATCGATAGTCTATATTCGATGTATCATTTGATGTCAACATCGATGTTTTAAAAAATTTGCGCATCCCTCACATACTTTGATTTTCTTGCATCCCTACTCTAACGCTGAAATAAACGGGATTAGATAGCGTCGCTTGCACTGACACGTCTTACCCTATAATTTTAGAAATAAGTGTTCACATGACTTGTGACGTATCTGTGACGCGGATTGCGTAAGGCCTCGAGAATTTAAACGTGCTTAAACGTTGGTTTTTAAGATTTTTGAGCCTAGATACTAAGTGTTCAAATACTGCTGTACCAAGTTTTAATATGTTGAATGTTTCAACAATAGAGAGTTAAGTTCACTTAGAGTCAGTAGAGAGTTATTGCAAATTTTTATAACGCCAGCCACTAATAGTGACATAGTAATTAGAGTCAAATAAATTCCATGCTAAAATCAGACTTATTGCGAACCTGAAATTTTGTCAGATTATAACAAGAAAACCGACAATTCCGAAGCAGAAGTGGATGATTAAAACGCACCTATTAAAAATATTGCGCCAAGATGTAGGCAACACGTAATAAGGGTTCAAAATGGCGGAGTTTTCTATCTCCTTTTAAAAGGCACTCAGAAAGCTGCGCAGTGCGACCATTCTCCGTATAGTAAAAGAAAATCAAAGTATGTGCACTCCAGGGATACAAATTCAGGATATGCAGAAGACTGCTGTTTTATTATAGGCGGTTGTCATACATTGTATTATCTGAGTTGCGCAGTGTATAAACTGGAACATTGAGATCAAAAGTGCGAACGCAGAGTGAGTCATCTGATTCTTTAGCTATAAACTGTGGCATAGGAATCAAAATGGCCGCGCCCTATGTTGGGCGTGTCGGACCTCTCTCTTGCACCGTATAGTAAAAAAAATCAAAGTATGTGGTGAATATGAATTTACTTTCCGCATAAGCTGTCAAATATGTCAGACGTCTAATTTCTATTTTGATTGATTGTAATGTCCATTTTAATGTTAAAATCGATTTGTTGATTAAAATTTTAACATATAGATCTTAGATATTTCTTTTTAACAAATTATTAATAGCTATTTGTGTATTAAGAGCGAAAAGTGGTAATTTACCACTTGAGACGCGTAGCGGAGCGCTGCAATCTGTCGAAAGATATGCAAGTAAATTCAAGCAACAATAATTAACTGCGTAGGTGGAAAACCAGAAAACAACAAATTTACTGCAACAAATAGAGAACCAACCCATTAGTAACCTTTTACTATACTTATAAGGAGACCAAACCTACGCTTTAGATGAAATATCCAAAGCTTTAAAGTTATTTTGTTCAAAGATAAATTAAGTACATAATTTGCAGAGCTCTCTAACTTTACGAGGTTTACTCTAAAATTTTGGAATAGTAAAAGATAAAAATATTTAGAATTATAAAAGTTGTCTAATTGTTTCTCCCATATACTCTATACTACATAACATTTATTCCATTCCGAAGATGGTAATTCAAAAGTTCATTTTTAGATGCCTCAACTGAATTTTCTGGTTTTTTATATCGTTTGCCATGCAATTTATTTTTGATTTTTGAAAAAATAAAGAAATCATTAAAGGAAAGTTAAACTTTTTTTAATTGTTGTACTATTGTCACAATTTAATTAATGTCTGATAGAACTTATACTTACCATTTGGTGAATAAATTTTCAAATTGATCGGCAAATTTGAGATTCCTTTGTTACTACCGGTAACTCTATTCGTCTCATTTTCAATTTCTTTTCTAACCTCATCGAAATCCGAGTATGTTTGTTTGTTATGCAGAAATTCGGCATATTCTAAAAAAAAAAGATTTTTTTTAAAGCTAAAAATTTATAGAAAACAGCAATCTTCTGGTTCCTTTAGTAGGTAGCAATAAAAACCGCCAAAATAAAAACAATGTAAGCGTAATTGAAACAAAGAAAGAAATGAAAATAATAATTAAGGTTATTACACTAATTAACCAACAGTTAACTGCTAAAATGTTTAGTTTCTTTATTTTGTTGACCTGAAATGTAGAGGATAAAAGAATGGGGCGTAACCTTATACAATAATATAAAAGTAGGCATGGATCACAAAAGGTTGTGAACCCCTGGCATAGAATGTCTAAAGACTTATTAAAAGATGAGTCACTATAGTGCTACTTGCGTTTCAAATATTTGATCTATGGTTAAAGGACACATGATTGCAAAAAACCAATGGTTAACGGATCTTACGTTATTAATAATAGTAATACAGGGACTTTTGTCGATTTTGTTCATTTATTGTGAAGGTTATAACTAACGAAACATCTAGTATATTTTTTAAAATTGGTTTAGATGTTGCCCTTTAACTGAGGTAGCCAGAAGAAAAATCTAGGTCCGGTTTAACAAAAAATTGTGACACGTCCTCTTGTTTAACTTGCGTGGAAGTGGAAGTCGAGGGTGGCGCCAGGAAGTTATTTAGAATAAGGGTTGCCCAGGCGCCAGCTTTGATAAGGCAGTTTGCTTTGAGACCCTCGAGTACGCCTAGAGTGCACTCAAAGTAGCCCCAGTGGAGTTAATACCTGAAAAAAAAAAACCTTAAGAGCAAACCGGACACCTCGAAAATTTATAATTCATTCTGATCCTTTATTTTTAGTCCGATTTTTGTGAAATTTTCAGGAAATACCCGATAATAACAAAACTTAGGGTGGGGAAACCTTGAATTTTTTGTAAACCTTCGAAAAGTATTTATTTTGAAAATTTTTAAAAAGTATTAAAAAAAACATTTACGCGCCATTCTGTATTAAATCTATAAAAATTAACTGTTTTTACTTTCCTATGTGTTATACAGATATAAGGAAAGTATAGGAATCATGATTTTTTTCGACCTCGAGTTTTCGACGGATTTTTACGTTTTGAGGTCCCCTGAATCCGTTTTGACTATTTTCGCGATGATGTCTGTGTGTGTCTGTGTGTGTGTGTGTGTCTGTGTGTGTGTCTGTAGGTCGCATAACTCATGAACCGATACACAGAAAAACACCAAATTTCAAACTTAAGCTTTATTCCAGCATCTTATGAACTGATTAGATATTGGGCAGAGTCGGAACATCTGGGGGGGTACTTTATAAGTGGTCATTTTTATATTTTATGAAATATATCTGTTATTTACGTTTGGAGAAGAAAATTCTTCAAATAAAAGTTACTTCTAATATAATTATCTATAATTTTTGTTCTATATAAAATTTTCCTAAAATGGTCCGTATTCGAGAAATTTGACAAAATGTAAAAAAAATATTTTTTTATAAAAATTGTTCGAATAAAAGTTGTTTGTAATATAATTCTCTATAATTTTTATTCTATACATAATTTCTCTAAAATGGACCGTATTCGAGATATTTGAGAAAATGTGTAAATTTCGAAATTTGAAGAAAACTCAAAAACGGATAAAGAAAAAAACATTAAATTTTAAACTTAAGGTTTATTTCGGCCTGAAGTGAAATGATTAGATTTTGGACAAAGTCGGAACATCTAGGGCGGTACTTTATGGGAGGCCGTTTTTATATTTTATGGAATATATCTGTTATTTATGTTTGGAGAAGAAAATTGTTCAAATAAAAGTTACTTCTAATATTATTATCTATAATTTTTGCTTTATGTCAATATTTCCTGAAATGGTACGTATTCGAGAAATTTGAGAAAATGTACAAAATTCTGATTTTTATGAAAATTGTTGAACTAAACGTTGTTTGCGATATCGATCTCTATAATTTTTGTTTATACATGATTTTTTTAAAATGGACCGTAATGGAAAAATGCTAAATTTAAATTTTTCAGTATTTTCGTTTTCAATGAATATCTATAGAAAAATGTTTCGAGGTAGATGTATATGGACAATGTATATATTTAGTTTATCCTCTAAACATATATAGAGATGCTGCAATAGGTTGTACAAAATAACCAGAAAAAGCCTATAATAACTAGATAGGAAAGTCATGTGTTGGACACATCAGATTTTTTATAATATAGTTAATCTCTTCTTCCCATCGCAGATGTGAGTCGACATATATTCCCAAATACTTTATGTTATTTGTAGATTTTATAATAATAGTTTCATTTTCGATTTTAATATTAATTTCTTTAAAAGGCGGTAAGTAATTGCTATATGATGTAAAAGGGATAAAGAAAGTTTTTTAAAATTAATTGTTAGTAATCTGCTCTCAAAAAAATTAGCGATAGTAGTAAAGTCATTCTGAACTGTGCTTTTTAATTCCTGCCAGTTATTTCCTTCATAGAAAATGGCTGTATCGTCCGCAAAACTTACACTATTACCGTTAATTTCTTGAAAAAATAAATCATTCAAATAAATGTTGACAAGTGTAGGACCTAACACAGTTCCTTGGGGAAGTCCGTATTTAATTACCATAGGATTACTTACATCTCCTGCAATACGCACATATTGTGTTCTATCTGTGAGGTAGCTTTGCAATAATTTTGAAGCAACTCCTCTGAGACCTATGTTTTCAAGAACATATATTAATTTTTTGTGGTCTACCGTATCGAACGCCTTGGCTAAATCAATGAATATAGCTATGGATGTTTTTTATCAAGTGAGTTATTTATTTTGCCAACCAAGTCGGCTATGGCATCGGACGTTGACATATTTTCTTGAAAACCATATTGATTGTTAAAAAGAACGTTGTATTTATTAAGAAACGATGTTATACGTTTTTGTAATATCTTCTCGAACACCTTAGCAATAGAGGTGATTATATATAATAATGAATAATATAATAATAAACCTCTTTCAAGTTATTGACTTACCATCTATTTCTGACGTTCTATATTGTTCTTGGTACGTGGAAGTGTTGCTGATTTGGGATGAAGAAGCATCCGGACTTAAAGCGTCGGAATGTAGAACGGCGAGACGTAGAGAGGGCGTCGGGACGTAGAGCCTCGAATAGGAGAGAGAGCGTCGGGACGTAAAGATACTTAATGATAAATATGAAAATAATTGAAGCAAAATGGATTTTAAATAATACTGGATATACTGGAGTTTAAAATAAACTGAACTGAATTTGATTTCTTAATAATAATAAATATCAAGTTCCTCGGGATCGGGTATTTATACCCATTTTAATGATTTTTTTGGACGTCAATTTGTCGTAACTCCGATAGGAACGAATTTGGGTGGATAAAAAAAGGGTTGATCGATTAATTAATTAATAAATTAATTAATAATTAATTAATTAATTAATAAATCGATTAATCGATTGATCGAGAAATTTTTGGAAGTTTGTGTCGATATCATGTAGAAATGTTTTAAAGATTATTACTACGTGAAATGAAATGTTTTATAGAGATTTTTGGATCGAATTCTCTTGGGATAACGTTTTATCTTTTCTAGTTATTGAGCTTGTTACAAGTAATATTAGAGACCACGCGAACAAAAATATTGCTTTTACTTATTAGGCATCATAGATAAGCTTTAATTATATGGGTTATTTTTCTTTAAATTAAGGATTTCGAATTTTTCTTTAATAAAATAAAATTAATAAATTAAGAAGGTACCTGGCTGCGGTAGGTTACTACGCTCGGGCTAGTTCGGTTTCAGAGTGGTTCGGAGTGGGAGTAGCCAATATTTACAAATCGAAGGACTGAGAAAATGTTCATTTGACATCTGCGAAAATGATTAGATAATTTACATGAAATTGATCGTTTAAAGCTGGATTCAAATTTTAATAAATAATATTTTCAACTATGTTAAATGAATGTTAAAAAACAGGAATTTATAAGAAATACAAAAATACGAGAGTTCTTGAGAACGCTAATAAGCGAAAATTAACTTGAACTTAACATTTTTATAATTAAACTAAAGGAAAATTTAGTGACTTCGACACAAAATGTATACATTTTTGTGATCTTAAAACAACACCCTGTATATAAGAATAATTTCTTGACCGTAGCAGAATTTTATATAAATAAAAATTTCCTTGGTTTATTCGGTCTTTTTCTTAATTTCAATATTTAGCACAGCGCTACCTAGGTGCAGTCATAAATTAATAAAACATGGGAACCATTACAAACAAATTAAAAATAATTTAAAATAACAGAAACCCCATCTTTCTGTTTCATCGTGTGAAGGTGTATATAAGAATTTTCAAAATCCATTTTAAATTTTAAGAGTACAAAATATATTAAACAATGAACTTTTTGTAGGTCCGCATCCGATTACACGGGTGACATTTTAATCTACAATTTACATTTATGATTAAAAGAGGTTAATAATATACCAATATATTTCAAAAAGTTTATTTTTGTTAATGAATTAAGGATAATACAATATTCAACAAGCATATAATAACAGTTATTATATGCGAATAGAATACTAGATATACTTTCTCGTATTTAAGAAAATACTTTTATTGATGCAAATATTTATGGAACATTATTTTTATTATTTATAACATGAAAAACAATATTAATAATATCAACTTTATAACTAATTATAATTCAAAATTAATTAATTATGTTAATAGTTACATTTAAACAATTTGTTAGGTTAATTAATGCAGAAATACAATTAACGTCTAAATTATTATTTTATTTGTAAAAACGCTTTGATTGTTGGCATAAAAACTAGAATTATTTACTTGTATGGAACTTAATATATTTTTAGCTGATTTCTATCAGCTATGGCATTTCAAAGGCATTACGTCACCGCCTGCATCAACAAGTAGAGGTACAGTAGATCTGCGAAAATTATGTCCAGAATATATATTTTTTGTTATGGTATTTTTTAAAAAGTAGCGATGTCTTTCCCCACTTTGTTAAATTTA